AAAAAAGTCAATATATATATATATATATTCATATTTGATCAATGGTAAAATCACAAGTTCACAAAACATTATAGGCACTGGAAAGCTCACTTTCAGCATGTAGACTTTTGCTTTGATCTTTCCTAATAGTTTACAAAATATTTTGCTCAATTAAGACATTAATATAATTTCAATTTTAAAATCACATTTTGAAAAATAATATTAAACAATTTTTGGGGTTTACTTTGAAGCAAGTCCTAAGCTTCTAAGATGTTGATTCGATATGTTTAATTTTTTATACTAAAGATATATAAAGTTTAATCCCACTTTTTAATTAGTATAAAAACATGATGTGAAGCTTGTTTAGTTGTTTTTGTAATGTATGGTGCCAGAACTTCAAACAAATGGATAACATAACTCCAAACTATTGCTTAAAGCTGTAGTGGAGATATAAATGTTAATTGTTTGTCAGTTTCCTATGTTGCATTACAAGTACTTTTCAGATATAATTATAGTTGTCATCATCATTAAGTACTTAAAATTGTAAACTATGGCAGTCCTAGTAATGTTCAGAATCTTAAACACTTACTGTAGCAAACAGTTTTATATGCAACTGTCTTTTAATTTGAAAACTGAGTTGTTTAAACTGCTTCAAAGAAAGTTTGTTGCCCTTTTTTTTTATGCCACCAGAAGGTGCAGTGACGCTTGTATTTTATGAAGGTGTACTTCAGTGTATCCAAAATTAGTAATAAAGGCTTTTAATTTTTAATTATGTTAATTCATGGAAAAAAAAAGTAATAAATAAATAAAAAATTTTACAGCCACAATAGAAACATTCAACAGTGAGGCACAAATAATCCAGGAATAAGTAATTACATTGGTAACATTTATCCTACAGTTTTAGAGATTGAGAACACTTCTATATTAAATACTGAAGTACATTATTTAAATTTAAACATTAAGATAATTAATAATTATTGTAATACTAGCAAAAGTACACAGCTTTGCTCGTGTTATTAGGTTCATAGTGTCTGTATTTTGAACCTATTTTAGCATAAAAGTATAATCTGTATACTTTTTTTTTGCGAAGCAACATGACAGAAAAAACCATTGTTGGAATGCATTGTTACCAAAACGCACTGGCTTTTCTATATATTAAAGTTGTTATATAAGGAACCAGTTCATTTCTGTGATTTTTCATTAGCTTGCCTATTTAAAAAGATGTGCATGTGTGTGTGTAAACTTTGTTAACTATCTACTGTACAACATAATTTCCAAGAAGCTTTATGAATTCATTCTAGTATATTTTGCTGAGATAGTGGCCACTCGTTCCCATACACTGAATTCATTTCTGATGTTCTACCACTGTTACATTGAATGTTGCTAGTAGCCTTACTTGTTGGAGAAAGATTTCTTAATTATGTGGTTCATTAGGCTTTTCAGTTGTGCGAGGTAAAGATAAGTTGGCCAAATGATGAATGATGGAAGCAGTTCGAGTCAAATCTTCTACAACTACTACTCTAGTGTTTCTACTCTTGCCTTATGGACTACAAATTGACATTTTTAATCCCACTCTTACCCAGAACTGTACACTTTCGGCTATGCCAATTGTCCATGTTTGTTACATGCAGCAGTGAATGCTCGTGATCTTTCAGTGTAGTTGCCAAGTGTTGCCAGAAATGGAATCTTTGTGA